CGAAAATTTATGACAACATATAATGATCATATATGGTTCCAAACATCATTATATGACCCCGAGATGTATTTTCTAGAATCTCGAGGCTTTTCGACAGCATGCCCCGAAACCTCCAAAATTTTTCAAAAAGCGTGGAATAAGCCTTCAAATTTTGAATTTTTTTGACATTTTTTCGCCCGCAAATAAAATTGACGAAAATTTTCCCATGTTTCCTAATACCCTTCGGGAGTCCAATTGGGTGGATGGAACCATCCAATTTTCCTTTAAACGACCAATTTACCGGTATACAACTTGCACCGATTTCATTAACTCAAGCCTACCACGAACATTTATGACAACATATATGATGATTATTTATGCTTCCAAACGACATTATATGCCCCCAAAATGCATCCCTTTATTTTTCGAGACTTTTCGACACCGAGCCTCAAAATCTCCAAAAATTCTCAAAAAGCGTGGATTAGCCTTCAATTTTGGAATTTTTCGACTTTTATTCGCCCGGAAATAAAAATTGCCGGATGTTTACCATGGTCACTTATACTCTCCGAGAGTCCAATTGGGTTGGTGGAACCATCCAATTTGCCTTTAAACGACCAATTTATCGGTTTACAACTTGCACGGTTTTCATTAACTCAAGCATACCACGAACATTTATGACAACATATAATGATCATATATGGTTCCAAAAGGCATTATATGACCCGGATGTATCCCCTAAAATATCAAGACTTTTCTACACTGGGTCCCGAAACCTCCAAATTTTTTCAAAAAACGTGGATATATATATTAGCCTTCAATTTTGGAATTTTTTGACTTTTTTTCGCCCGGAAATAAAAATTTCCGAAATGTTTACTATGGTCCCTAATACATTCCAGGAGTCTAATTGGGTGGTGTGGAACCATTCAATTTGTTGTTAAACAACCAATTTACTGGTTTACAACTAGCACCGATTTCATTATTTCAAGCCTACCACGAACATTTATGACAACAAATAATGATCATATTTGGTTCCAAACGGCATTATATGACCCCGAGATGTATCCCCTAAAATTCAAGACTTTTCTACACCGGGCCTTGAAACCTCCAAAATTTTTCAAAAAAACGTGGATATTAGCCTTCTATTTTGGAATTTTTTGACTTTTTTTCGTCCGGAAATAAAAATTGCCGAAATGTTTACCATGGTTCCTAATACATTCCAGGAGTCTAATTGAGTGTGTGGAACCATCCAATTTGCTGTTAAATGACCAATTTACCGGTTTACAAATTGCACCGATTTCATTAATTCAAGTCTATCACAAACATTTATGACAACAAATAATGATTGTATATGGTTCCAAACGGCATTATATGACCCTGAGATGTATCCATAGAATTTCAAGACTTTTCGACACCGGGCCCCAAAACTTCCAAAAATTTTTGACCTTTTTCTTCCCGAAAATAAAAATTGCCGAAATATTTACCATGGTCCTTAATATCCTACGGAAGTCCAATTGGGTGTGTGGAACCATCCAATTTTCTGTTAAACGACCAATTTACCGGTTTACAACTTGCACCGATTTACCGGTTTACAATGACCAATTTAATTATCTTGGATCAAACCCGACTTGAACCGAAATTGACCCTAACTCGTTTTAACCCTTCAAAACCCGAATTTAACCCGACTTGTTACTAACCTGACCTTAATTCATCCCGACCCGTTCCTAACCCGGCCCGACCTTAACCCAACCTATTACAAACCCGACCAGAAATCAACCGACTTGTTATTGAACTGACCCATACTCAACCTGAATTATTATTTGGTCCGACTCGAATTTTACCAGACCTATTACTTACCCAACCCAAAAATTCAACCCAATCTGTTACTAACCCGACTCGAAATTAACACGACTTGTTATTGACCCGACCTAAATTCAACCTAAATTGCTCCCCGACCCGATTTCAAATCACCTTAAATGCAATTTAGACCACATTATTATTATTGTTGATCAAAGCATTTTGTCTAGGGAGACCAAGTCGGTCCAGGCCAACAAAAGAAATGAGCATCATCCTCAAATTTAAGAGTTAAATATAGTATATATTTATTGTATGGTCAAAGGAGATAATTATCTTCCTAAATTATAGAATATAGTTCTGTAGTATATTGTCATATATATTATAGTAAAAGGAAATAATTAGCTTGATAAAAATGATAATGATCTATTTATAGTTAGTTGAACCCGAAAACGACCTGACTTAGAAATGACCCGACCTGATTGTAACCTGCAAATTATGACTTGAACATAACCTGACTTGAATCCGAAAATGACCCGACTTGAAAATGACCTAACCTGATTATAACCCGCAAATTATTGACTTGAACTGAACCCGACTTGAACCCGAGAATGACTCGACTTGAAAATGACCCGACCTGATCATAATCTGCAAATTATTGACTTGAACCGAACCCGGCTCAAACCCGAGAATGACCCGATCTAATTCTAGCCCGTGAATTATTGACTTGAACCGAACTCGACTCAAACCCGAGAATTACCCTAACCCGTTTTAACTCGTGAAAACCCAAATTAAACCCGACCTATTGTTCACCCGACCCGAATGTAACCCGACCTGTTATTAACTCGACCTAAACCCGACCCAATCCCGATAAGAAGTATGACCCGACTCAAGCATGACCAAACCCAAACCCGACCCGCACAGGTTTTGAAATTAATCTGAATTGACCTGACCCGAGTTAACCAGACCCATTCTTACCCCGATCCAAACCCGACCCGTTTATCCGAATTAACAGTAACACATAGTACTAGTTTTATTTTTAGTGAACACGTATGCCTATTATTATATAGAGAAAAGATAATGTGATTTGTCTCTACCTTCATGATTGCTTAAGTTCATAATCATGATTAAGAATCTTGTTGGCAAGCGATTACTTCATTCCTATGTATAGCATTTTAGTCCACAACTAACCAAACATCATTTTCGATCATAAATCATAACAATCGATTTTAAATAACTAGGCATAAAGAGAGCGACACTACAGATGGAAAACATGTTGTTCAGATTGTGTTTAATTTGTGATTAAAAAAATTACTTTGGTGATGAATTTTATATGAATAATTAACAAATAGTTTTCATTTTGAAATTGAGCTCAATTCCATTATTTTTGGATAAACTTGAACTTTATACGTTGTCTAACATTTACATTATTATCCACCAAAGTTACACTATTATTAGCAAATATGGTCTTATTCAAATCAATTGTCAATTAATTAAGGGTTTGTTTACATTTAGTAAGCAGAGCTGAACTAAACTGAACTAATTGGAGCTGAACTGAATTGAAATGAACAGATTGGAGCTGACTTGAATTGAACTAAACTGAGCTGAAATGTATATTTTATGAGAGAAGGAAATTAGGAGTTGAACTGACCTCATGAACTAATTGGAGCTGAACTGAACTAATTGGAGCTGAATTGAAGTGAACTGATTGGAGTTGAATTGAAGTGAACTGATTGGAGCTGAACTGAACTGAAATTAAGCTTAAATAAATAGGCCATAACTTATTAATACAAAATTACAAATCAATCAAAAAGATTAGTCACAGCTTAAATGTCAGGCAAATTCAAGTAGGATAAGTTGGATTAATAAGCATGGAGATAAAATGTATTTTTATACTTTATATATGTTACTATAGTATTAGTGGAATCACACAAAATGAGAAGAAAATTTTAGGGTCTGATCTATGAATTGAGTTGAACTGAACTGAATATTATATGAGAGAAGGAAATTAGGGCATGTTCACATTTACTGAATTGAGCTGAACAAATTGGATTGGAGCTAAATTGAACTGAACTGGACTGATTGGAACTGAACTGAACTGAATAGAGCTGAAATGAATATTTTATGAGAGAAGGAAATTAGGAGTTAAACTGAACTAATTAGAGCTAAACTGACTGAACTAAACTGCACTACACTGAAATTAAGCTGAAGTGAACAGGCCCTAAGAATTGAACTAAACTGAAATGAACTTATTGAAACTGAATTGAAAATAATTTGAAGAGAACAGATCCTTAGGCACATTAAAAATTGATTTTAGCACACCTCTATGTGAGAAAGCGTTGAAAATTGTTCTCTCACAATAGATATGCCAAAATCAAGTTTTGATGTGAGGAGTGATCGATAACAAGCTGATTTAAGCTCAAACTTAACTGAAATTGATTTGCTTATCTCATATTAGATAAGTTACATCCAAGCCCAAGCCCTTTAGGATCATAGTTCTCAAGTTAACTAAACTTAAAATTTGACTTCAGTCATTCAAAATTTTTTCATGTAATTAATTGTTAATTAAATTCATTGCTCGAGTTGTATGAGTTTGTAAACTTTTGTCATTTTTTTTTTATCATTATTAATGAGAAAAAAATATTAATATGTTGTCCATTTATGGGTATTTTATGGAATAATAATCATTTGACAATCTAAAAAAGAAAATAAGAATTAATAATGTACCACCAAAAAGAACAGTTGCATAAAATTGTGATCTCTTTTCATTTTTTCTACACATTTTAGGGAAAGGTTGGTTGCATGTTAAAACTTAAGAGAACAACTATATATAATAACACGTCTCTTTTATTTTTATTTTTTTTTCCTTTTGTACTTCTCTGGATCCATCATTTGTAAATTTTTTTTGGTATTTTATTGAAAATAAAATTCTAAATCAAAAGTTTTATTGAAAACAAAACTCTAAAATAACCTTTTTATCCTACTAATTTATTCAAATTTTATTGAAAATAGAACTCTAAAATAACTTTTATATCTTTTTTATTCTATTTGTCTTTTTCCTATTCTTAAAAAAATATTCAAATAATTTTTACGTGTTAAATTATTAATTAATTGTCGCTTATGTGGCGCGACACTTGACAAAAAGTTAGAATGCCAAGTGTCGTTGTCTCGTGAGCTGGCTAAAAGTTTAACTTTATATATTTGTTATATGATACAATAATAATTATAATAATTGCTAAAAGTTTAAAATAACCAAATCAAAATCCCCACTTTATAAATAAAAAATACAAAATTTGTAAAAATTCGAGATATGTCATTACGTATCACAAAAAAAAAAAAAAGGTTTAGAGTTTTTACAAAGTAAAATATCTTTGAAAATCCAACGGAATTTCCCGCTATCATATCAGAAAAAATTACGCGCAAATATTATTGCTGATCTAATTGAAACTCCCATTATTAAATCATGATATATTAAGCATCATATCACTAAAGATCCTATAAAAAAAATCATCATTTGAATCATACAAAAATTGCACAAAATATCACCAAAGATCTATGTCACTATTTACAAGGTTAAGTAAAATGACTAAAATCCAAGACAACTTCAAGGCTAAAAAATGAAAATGAAAATGAAAAAAATAATGTTGTCAAAAAAGTTAAAAATAGCCTTTTTCTGTAAAATATTCCTATAAAAGCATCCAAATAAGAACACAAAACTTCAGGTGACCGAAGCGAGAGGTTTGGAAGCAGCTTTTTGTGGGATATTACCAACAACTTCAGAGAGAGAGAAAAAAAATAAACAAAAAATTGAAGAAAAAAGTAGTAGTAAGAACGTTCAACAATGGCGAATATTAATGTTTTAGCAAAATATTAAAATAAAAAAATATTGAATTTTTAAACAATAAAAACTAAGGGGGGAAATAATTTTTTAAAATAATCAACATCATCTCCTTATTTTTTCCCCTTCTTATATCTTCTCCTCCATTTCCGCTGTCTCTCTCATTGAAATCTTCAAAATATTAATTGATTCTATTAAAAGGGTTTCTTTATTTCTTGAAGAATTTATCTGGGTTTGTTTCAATTTTTGAAATGATCATCAATAAAGTTCAGAAATCAATTAAAATTCTTGGATTCTGAAAAACCTGCAAAATTTCAGTTTTTTTTGGTTTTTGCTCTTTAACGATCATATTTCCTGTTTTTTTCGCCTGATGGTGTCAATGGAATCAGAGGGAATGTTGCCATTTTCGGTGGTTTCTGTTGTTGAAGATGTTCTTAGACAGCATGGAACTCGATTGAGCGACATCGATTTCGCTTCAAGAAAAGCAGAGGAAGCTTGTATGATTTCATTCCTCATTCTTGATTACATATATTCATATTGTTTGGGTTTATTAGCATCATATATTATGATTGATAATAATGTAGGTTGAATTTTATGATTGATTATTGTGAAGGATACTAAAACTATTGAATTATTGCTGGGATTCTCACATAATGCCTGTTAAATGAGAGACAATCACTATTTAGATGAATTTGGATTAATATGCAAATGCATATCCAATTTTGATCATTTTTTTTTTGGGTGGGGTGTTGATATTGGGTTTTAAATTGGACCTTCTTTGTAATATTGTGATTAAGGATGATGTTTAAGACTCATAAGGGGAGCTAATTTTGTAGCATGGAGACGATATGAGGCGGCGAGGTGGCTAAGGAAGATAGTGGGGGTTGTATGTTCAAAAGATTTGCCTGCTGAGCCATCTGAAGAAGATTTCAGACTTGGGTTGAGGAGTGGGATAGTCCTTTGTACAGCAATCAACAGGGTTCAACCTGGTGTTGTTCCAAAGGTATTTAGCATTCAATAAATCTTTGTTATATTAGATATTAATTCTGTATTATTTGTATGTTATGTTTATGTTACATGCACACATTACATGTTTTCTGGTGTTTCTAGGTGGTAGAAGCTCCAAATGATACCGTGATCATCCCTGATGGCGCGGCTTTAATGGCCTACCAATACTTTGAAAATGTGAGAAACTTCCTAGTTGCTGTAGAAGAGTTGGGACTTCCTACTTTTGAGGCATCTGATTTAGAACAGGTTAGTCTCTCAATTATACTTGGGATTGAAATAAACCACACTTCTCAATATTAAGTCTTATGCAATAAAGTCGAAATGACTCAAGAGATTGTCAAACATAGAATTTGCCCCCTCTTAAGCTCTTATGAATAGAGACTGACATATATAGAATTTGATTATAGATGATGTGTGCCTTTTTTAAGATGTAAATTTTGCTTGCTAGAGTACTAATATCTACTTTTGGTTTACAACTATAATGGCTAGGGTGGTAAAACAGGAAGGATTGTGAGTTGTGTTCTTGCTTTAAAATCTTTTAGCGAGTGGAAGATTGCAGGAGGTAACGGAACTTGGAAATATTCAGGAAACTTCAAAACACCCAGTTCTACCAGCTCTACTGGCAAAACTGTTGTTAGAAAGAATTCAGAACCCTTCATGAATTCAATTTCTAGGACTTCATCAATAAGTGAGAAGTCTCTAGACACCGAACAGTGCAGTGATCTTGGTGTAGATTTAAGTGACACGGTTAGTGCTTATATATGATTATTTGTTTGGTATTTATTCTGAAGGAAGAAGCAAATATAAAAAAAAAACATTTAATTTTTATCTACAGAGTAACACTCGTTCCTTAAATATGATGATTCGTGCACTTCTAATTGATAAGAAGCAAGAAGAAATCCCAAATGTAAGTTTTCTTTGAGCTAATTGAAATATTTTGATGGGACTAATGATGAACAACCTAAATATTCTCAAAATCAGTGTTTGATAGAGATCAATATTTCAAACATTTGACTTATGTTTTTTACTGAGTTCACACTCTTGCTAGTCCTGTGATTGCATCAAACTCCTGTTTTTTGTAATTATTTGATCTCCTACTAATTTTCAGATTGTTGAATCCATGCTCAGCAAAGTCATGGAAGAGTTTGAATGTCGCTTAGCAAGTCAAGCTGAATCTGTAAGTAGCTCATAGTTGTCAGCGTGCTGCAATGTACTAGACTAAGAGTAGTGTTATTGCAAAGCCTCTCCTTCCCTTGAAATCTTATTCTTTTGAATGGTGACCTACTATATATATGTATAGTATAGTATGATCACATCATTTGATAGAACTGTCTCATTTTGTTAAAATTCATTTTACTTAGATGTCTAGTTGTATAAAACTAGAAAAATTAAGATCAAAATTAAGTTTTGCAACTTCGCAGGAGAAAGCTGCTCCAGAAGCAATGTCAGTTTCTGGACAAAACACATCTCCTGCCGAGTCCCTTAAGAAAGAAACAGAGGTAAACTATGAATTGGAATACAATTTGATGACTATGATCTTGAGTTGTTGAAAATTTTCTCATACATATATGAATATTTTAAAGAATCATGATGACAATGCCACCAACAACATTAATGAGCCAGAGCAAGTTAATGAAAGTGAAGATATTCAGAGTTGTGTCCCATATGCAGCGCCTAAAAGCAAGTTCAGGAAGCATGATGAACATTTTGAGAGGCAGGAGAGTAATATCCAGGTAATTGAAAGTAATATGTTTCATTGAAGTCCTTTGTTTTTTTTTAAAAAAATACATGTTTTAATCATTTCTTTTCTAGGATTTAAAACAAATTGTCCACACTACAAAAGAAAGCATGAGGTTATTGCAAATGAGATATCATGAAGAGTTCAGCAATCTAGGTATGATTACTGATATTTTGGTGTGATGAATCAACGTGTTAATTGTTAAGGAACTAATTGACTCCCTATGAACATTATCTTTGTATCCTAACAAATTGTTTTGATAGGTAAGCACCTCCAGAGTCTTACTCATGCTGCCTCAGGATATCAGAGAGTTCTTCAAGAAAACCGCAAGCTGTACAACCTAGTGCAAGATCTAAAAGGTATGATGGACACGAGAAAAAAGTCTAGCCTGATCTCCCCATTTCTAATTAGTTCTGATTAAGAGAAACTTTTTTCCTTTTGAACCATAGGGAACATCAGGGTGTATTGTCGAGTGCGTCCATTCCTTCCTGGCCAAGCTAATGGTTTTACCACTGTGGATCACATTGAAGAAGGGAACATTACTCTTATGAACCCAGCAAAATATTGTAAAGACGGAAAGAAATCCTTCAATTTTAACAAGGTTTTTGGACCTGAATCAACACAAGGTTAGTTGCATTACCATTTGATATTTTTGGTTATATCCTAAACATTTTGGAATTGATCTCAGCATCATATTCTTACATCTTACTGCAGCTGAGGTGTATACGGACATGCAACCTCTTATTAGGTCTTGTCTTGATGGTTACAATGTCTGCATCTTTGCATATGGGCAAACCGGATCTGGAAAGACTTACACAATGGTAAATGCTAAATTGATTCAACCATTCAACTGATGGTTTTCTGTACATTATATTCTTACTAATGCTAAACTTCTGCTATTATATAGAGTGGACCAGACAATCTTACAGAAGAAACATATGGGGTGAACTACCGAGCTTTGAATGATTTGTTCTGTCTAGCAGAAGAAAGAAAAGCCACTTTCACTTACGAGGTTTCTGTTCAGATGATGGAGATATATAATGAGCAAGTCAGAGATCTTCTAGCTACTGACGGATCAAACAAGAAATATCCTTTCCTTGTCTTCTTTTACGTCTTGTTTTCTCTTTTCAATTTATGATGATTTTATGATTTTCATTTGCCAAATGTCTACTGCCATTACACATCTATGTTATTCCTTAATGCTTTAATTACGTTAGAGATTCGTAACAGCTCTCAGAATGGGATAAATGTACCAGATGCAAGTAGGTTACCAGTCTCAACAACAGCTGATGTACTTAGTTTGATGAATCTTGGTCATAAGAATCGCGCAGTGAGCTCAACAGCTATGAATGACCGAAGCAGTCGCTCTCACAGGTAAACTTGCTATTACATATTCATACTCTAAAATTAACATTACAATTTCAAACAACTCTTAAAATTGTATGTTTTCAGTTGCATGACAGTTCATGTCCAAGGGAAAGACTTGGCTTCAGGAGCTGCTTTACGAGGTTGTATGCATCTTGTTGATCTCGCTGGAAGTGAAAGGGTTGACAAATCAGAGGTGACAGGGGATCGATTGAAGGAAGCACAGCATATCAACAAGTCCCTTGCTGCGTTAGGAGATGTAATTGCTTCACTTTCTACGAAAAATGCACATGTTCCTTACAGAAACAGTAAACTCACGCAATTGCTCCAGGACTCCCTAGGTAAATTTGTTTCGTTCTTTTTACCTTATAAGTATAAAAAAAAAACTAAGTACCGCTAATTTTCAATAAGTTCAAATGAGACTTGATTCCATACAAATTAAGTTTTGGTTAGCTATTAAGTTCCCATAAATTCAAATCATGGTTTTGAGGTGAAATGAACCTAGCCTTGTGGGGTTCACTACTTAAAGAGGCTTAATCTCCTGTTTCATTTTTTTCTGTTAAATCTGAAGTCCTGTATTTTTATTTCAACAGGAGGACAAGCGAAAACATTGATGTTTGTTCACATAAGTCCAGAGGCAGACGCCCTTTCAGAGACGATCAGTACACTTAAGTTTGCTGAGCGTGTATCAACCGTGGAGCTTGGTGCTGCTCGAGCAAACAAAGAAACTGCAGATACAAAAGACTTAAAAGAGCAGGTTTTTACAGTTCCCTTGTCCTCTTGATTTTCTTCCATTTAACTTGCAATCTCTGAATTAACAGTTGAAGCATTCTATTATTTTGTGTAAGGTTTCCAATCTCAAAGCAGCTTTAGCCAGGAAGGAAGAAGAAATGGAGCATCTTACTCGTTCAGTAACAAGCACTCCAGAAACAACAAATGTAAGATCTACTGCTTCTTCACCTACTCGTCCATCCTCTCGATCAAGAGACCTTTTAGGTGGTCGAAAGAGTCTAGTGCAGGATGTCAGTAACACCAAGGTAGGTTACTTTTTTCTGCACACCAACAAGGCTGCAAAAATAACATTTTATCAGCAACTTTGTTAACCTATATAACAGATTTTAACATAAATCAATAACATTGTTTATCATAAAATGATTCTTTGATAAGGAATCACAGCTGATTAATTAAAATCTGTGGTTTAAAGGTGAAAAACAACTCATCGAAGCCACGAAGGAGAAGCTTGGATCCAAATGATCTCTTATCAAATAACTCTATTTGGCCACCCCTTATTGTCAACAAAGCAGAACAGAAGAATCTGACTGCAGGAGATTGGATGGAAAAGGTGATGATGAAGCAAAGTAAAGTAGATAGAAGTAGGTCTGTAGTAGAAAACTTAGTGGATGAAAACATGAAGCCTTCTGAGAACTGTCATCCTGATGATAGCAATACTTTGAAGCAATCTTTCGATATCTTGGTAACCGAAAAAAAGGATTGCCAAGATAACGACTCACAACTTAGTATATGTGACTTGCTTACTCCTGACAGCATTGATGAGCTTGAGATAGCAACCAGTGACTCTTCTGAGCAAGACTTTCAAGTTCTTCTTCCAAGAACAGCAAGCTTGCCTAATGTTATAGGATCAAAAATCAAGAAACCTACCCCAATAAAGGCATCTAAGAGCCCGGAAAAGAGGTATCTTGACAGTTTGTCATTGTTATATACTTTCATTAGTAACAATTTTCATTGATGCAGTCCTTAGAAAAGTTCATACAGTTTCGCGTTTACAAATCTAATATAATGTCTTTTTGCTATGATTAGGAGTTTGATACCTATGCCACCCATGAGAAGATTATCGAATGGGGTGAATACACCGGCAATCAAGAATGGAAGACAGGCGGTGTATGTGAAGAGAAAATCAGGGAATGCAAAGTGATGAGTAACTAGCTAATTATGCTATGCATATATTATGTGATGATGGCTTGTCATCCTCCATATAATTTTTTTTAGTAGTTAGAAGAGGGAGGGTGAAGGAGTTGAGAAAAAGGCTTCTTTTTTTATTTGATTTTGCAGTGCAAAAATGGCAACTATTTCAGTTACCTGATGCATGATTTTGGTGGTGATGGGTTCAAGTATATGCAGTCCTGCCAAAAATGGCCCAAATTGATGGTGATTGTCTTTTGTTGTGTTACATTGTGTATATGGGTGTTTGATTCAAATGACCCTAAGCGAAGGTTTGATTTTGTTAGTTCTACCAAAGACGAAAATCGAGTAAGGTATATATATAAACTATATACTTGTAGTACATATATCACATATATATGTCTTCTTGGATCAAAGATTTGATGCAATGAAAGTTAATGAAATTGTTGTACATTATATACTTTTTGATTGTGTTGTCCACTTCTTGGATCAAATTTATGTAATTTTCTTATGCCAATTTGACTCAAATGAAGCCTACCAACTTTAATTCGCTAAAACAAAATTCAAATTCAAGTTTGAATCTCTTGTCAAGTTGTCGATTTAAACAAAGTTTGTATCCCTACCTTATAAAAAAATATAAAATTATTCTTATGAATAGTGTGATGTAAAATTTATCCCTCCAAAAGTGTATTTACATATGTACAAGTTTTTATTAGTGAAAAGTATTTGGACAATTACATCCTCAAAAATATTTATTTACTTATTTTCTATCATAAATGTGTTTTTTTTTTTTTTTAAAAAAAAGTTGCTTTGGACAATTAGACCCCTAAACATAGTTGTTACATATCAGCAACTAAATTCATGATTTAAAGTCAAACCAAAAGAACTTTCTAATATAGCTAGTTATGGCGCGCGCATTAGTTGCCTTAGTTTGATTAAATGTCTTTTTTAGTAAATCTTAACACTTTAAAACAAATTAGACCCTTGTCATTTATTTCTACTTGCTAGAACAATTACAGGCAAAGACTTTGTTGACGTATTGTAGCTTAGGTTTTCCATAAAATTGTTTCAAATTCAACGTAAAAAATTATTGATGACTCACTATTTTTCTTTTTTACACAAATTGATTCTATAAAATGAATTAAACCATACTTCGTATAAATTAGGAAGTCGTTTGACATGGAGGACAATGGACATAATCCAATTACGTCCACACCAATTTGCTAGCTGGGTTACATTACTTTACATGTCATACACTCATATCCCTTAAATAAGAATTGAGTGGTTAAACAAATAAAATGATTACTTATTTACTTGGACTAATTTGTATGCTTCCCATTCCATCAATCACGTGACTAGCCTTTTTTCATTATCTTCACTACGAACCTGTTCTCTTTAGATTATTTTCAGTTCACCTTTTAATTTCCTTCTTCCATAAAATATCAGTTCAGTTCATTTTATTTCATTTCAGTTAAGCTCAGTATAGTCAATCAGAAAATGCCCTATGTATTGACAAAATTCATTATACTATTGAATTCAAGTAATTTAGAAATAAGCAACTCTATTTGTTTATTCGAGTAACCCCTGTTCATTTGTTTTAAAAAATGAAAGAATTATTCCAATTATTTTAAGAGAGTACCCCTATTTCTCATTTAAGTAATCTACATACGCGTTAAGGTAACCCCCTATTACTTTAATTAATTGTGTTGTATGTGATTATTTAAAGTGGCCACACTATGTGGCTAGCCACATATAAGATTTTGTGATTATTTATAATTAGTAATCCCTTGATTTACTCTTTAGATTGATGTCCCTTATTCTTAGCTAATGCATCTGGACAAATACACTGAGTCACTGATGTATCTAGTTGTATTATATTTCTTACTCATGTCCTATATATACTCATGGAATGATGGGATCACATAATATAAATATATAATCAAAGCTTTCCAACATTTTCTTTATCATAACTCTATCAAGTGAATACTGATTATTGTCCTATGTTGAAATCATACTTTTATTGAATTTATTATTACTCCGTAATATTCAATTCAATAAAATCATAATTCATTAATTTTTTTTTGAAAGACATAATTTATTATTATTGTATGAAGATATGTGAATTTCTGTAAGAAAATATTAAAATAAAATAGTTTATTATACAATGTACAGTATGTCACTAATGATTTTGAAGATAAGAAGAAGCTTTTGTATATGACCATTTTTTTTAAAAAGAATATAACCACTTCTATTAACCTACCTAACAAAGTTTTTCTTGTCAAAAAATAATTTTTTTTTTCAATTGACATAAATATGAATGACAATTGCCAAAAATAAAGAATTATTGGTCTGTTTGATAATCAATAGTAAATGATGATAAAAAGAATGAATTTTTATTGTAAATTAAAAAGTAAAATACACATACATTGTTAAAAAGTTTCATCTCAATTGGAGAGAACTTGACCTAACTTATATACAAAGACATGGAGTATATATATGTAAATCGAAATTCTAGTACGGGGTAGACAATTGTTATTTTAAGATACATCATCGCCTTTATCGGGTAATATGAAAACTCGAACCTTGCAATTTCCAACTAAATTTAATGCTTATATATAGTCCTAAGGGCTATGGGCCTGTTCATATTTACTTAATTTTAGTTCAGTTCAGTTCAGTTCAGCTCTTAATTTCCCTCTCTCATAAAATATTCATTTCAGCTCAATTCAGTTCAGTTCAGTTCAGTTCAGCTCCAATCAGTTTAGTTTAGTTCAGTTCAGCTCAGTTCAGTAAATGTGAACAAGCCCTATGTATAACATTTTTCTTAAAGACAAAAGAGAAAAATTCTTCAAGAAAATATGATACTCCATATTCCATAAACGACTATGATGGCAGGTTTTTCCTTTTTTGGATTGATAATAAAACCCACCCTTTTGTTTATTTCATTGATCCTTCACCTAATTCTTAGCCAGCCAATGTTTGTGTGTTAATATACAGTTTTATTAATTATGACGTATGATCATTTTATTTTATTTTTCTAATCTAACACTTTTCATTTGTTTTTTTTTTCCCTTTCAAGTTCAATTTACTTTTATATTATTTCTTTTACATTTTTGTCATCATTTACAGCCTGATTTTGTTTGAAATTTTCCATACTTTCTATTTCTATAAGTCTGTTCACTTCATCTTAATTTCCGTTCAATGCAGCTCCAATCAGTTTAGTTCAGTTCAATTCAACTTCTCTTATAAAATATTCATATCAGCTCTATTCAGCTAATTTTAGTGAATATAAATACACCCTAACTTAGTAAGCACTAGTAATAAGAGAAAATATGAAATAAGTAAAATATTTTTCTTAAAAAAAGTAAAAATAAAGTATCCTAAATCCGTATATTGATTTTGGCGGTGGGGGCATATATATTGGAGAACAACAATGGATGATCCAAAGTTGGATTAAACCCCATTAAATAAAATAATTAGCTGCTTACAACTCATTTTCTCCACAAAAATATCATAAATCAATTGACTTTTGCCCAAATAATCATCCATTAACCCAACCCCACCTCACCACCTCCTCAATATCCTCCCAACACCCGCGTCTTCTCCAACCCAACCCCAACCTCCCTCATTTTCTCTCTCCTCACTTTCTCTCTCTACACTTTTTTTTTTGCTCATTTCTACTTTCTCTCTCTATCTTCGCACTTCCTCTTTCTCTCTCTTCAATATCTCAATTCTTAGTTCCTTTAAATGCTACTTACTTCTATTTCTCTCTCTTCGATCTGTAAGTTTTTTTTTTTTTTTTTTTTTTTTTTTTTTTTTTTGAATTTGGTGATATGTTTTTTCCGCTGATTAATTGCTGTGTAATGTTGTTTTGCTGTTGAATGTGAGATTAATTTTTTGTGTTTTGGTTGTAATTGGAGGAATTAATTTTGTTTTTTTCGATGTTTGCTTAATTTTAGGGGTAAAGATAACTTTAATTTTGTTTGCCTGTTTAATTAATTTCCATTTCAGAAGTGTTAGGGTTTATGATTTTTTCACCATTTTGATTTTTTAGGTTAACTGTGTAATGCAAATTGTAGTTTATAGTATAATGCTGCAATATTTTGTTGCGAAATTTCTATATCAGGAAATTAAACTGAAAAATTGGTCTGATGAAATCCTTGCCTAGTTTTTCTGTATCTGTCATAACCTTTTATGGAACATTTAGTTTAACAGTGGAAATTCATTCAATTTGTGCTGTTTATTAGACTAAATTTGTGTTGATTGTATCGAAAATAGGAACATTAACTAAAATAGTATGGAGTACGAAGTAATATATATGATATAATTGAAATGTACATTATTTTGTATAATCATCAGGGTTGTAAAAGGGGAGTTGACAGATGTTGAAACTTAGACTATAATGAGCCAGACTGAAGTATCTACAGCAAGTTCTCCTCTTGTTCCGCTTGGGACACTGATCGGTCGCGAACTTAGGTCTGAGAAGGTTGAGAAACCAATAATTAGGTATGGACAAGCGGCCTTAGCCAAGAAAGGGGAGGATTATTTTCTTGTAAAGACTGACTGCCAGAGAATTCCTGGGAATCCTTCTACGTCTTTTTTGGTTTTTGCGGTAATTTGCTGCTCATTACTAGGATTGTTACTAGTTAATGTATTTTCTGCTGTTGATATGGATTGAAAGTTACTGAACTTTGGATTTCTGGGTAGATATTTGATGGTCACAATGGCATATCAGCTGCTATATTTGCTAAGGAGCACCTGTTGAACAATGTTCTGAGTGCTGTTCCTGAAGGTGCTAGTAGGGAAGAGTGGCTTCAGGCACTTCCTCGTGCCCTGGTTGCTGGGTTTGTCAAAACTGATATTGAGTTCCAGCAGAAAGGTTAGTTTTGTAATGACTTTTTGAGTAATTTTTTAGTTGATATAAGACTGCTGTTGGTATGTTTGTGCTGGCAATCTCATTCTTGTTCAATTATTAGGTGAAAGTTCAGGGACGACAGTTACTTTTGTCGTGGTAGATGGGTGGACTGTGACTGTTGCATCTGTTGGGGATTCTAGATGCATACTAGACACACAAGGCGGTGTTGTTTCTGACTTGACTGTGGATCATCGCTTGGAAGAAAATGAAGAAGAGAGGGCACGTGTGACAGCTAGTGGGGGTGAAGTTGGAAGGCTTAATGTCTTTGGGGGCAATGAGGTCTAACTTCTGGATGTTATATTTTTGGTGACCATGTACTGGAGATTGTCAGCTAGAATATGCTTTTAATACCCCTGACAATGATATTCTCTGGAATTTTTCAGGTTGGTCCACTCCGCTGTTGGCCTGGAGGATTGTGCCTTTCTAGATCAATTGGTGATACGGATGTAGGAGAGTTTATTGTCCCTGTACCACATGTTAAACAAGTGAAAGTAAGTCTTTAGTGTGTGTTGAGTCCTCACTGATATCTTTGTTTGAAATCTTTGTCAGAGAGATATTAACATTATGTGCTTTCAGCTCTCTGATGCTGGAGGAAGGCTTATTATTGCTTCTGATGGTATCTGGGATGCTTTATCGTCTGATGCTGCTGCAAAAGCTTGTCGAGGCCTTCCAGCTGACCTTGCCGCAAAGCTGGTTGTTAAGGTTACTTACTCCCTTGTTTTTGGTTCTATTAACGTATTTTGATGACATATTTTTAAGTAAACTTACACTAGGCACTGTACAGGAAGCTTTAAGGTCAAGAGGTCTGAAGGATGATACAACCTGCGTAGTTGTTGACATTATTCCCTCTGTGCACCTCGTCTTGCCCCCAGCACCACAAAAGAAGCATCATGGACTGAGTGGACTGCTATTTGGAAAGAAATCTCATAATTTAGCAAGCAAATCATCTAAGCTTTCTGCCGTGGGAGCTGTGGAGGAGCTGTTTGAAGAGGGGTCTGCTATGCTTGCAGAAAGGTTTATCCTTCTTTCACTTCTTTTTCTGCTTTCTGAATATTTTCACTAGCTGATTTGAATATTTTGCTGGAGCTACCACATATTATGACAACTCCTAGAGGTTAGAGGGGTGCGTAGAATTTCCACTCCATTGAATTTGCCTATCTTATGCTAATTTTCTGCTATGGTTTTTATGAACTCTCTTCCATCAAACAAAACAGTTGGGTGCTGCATTATGATTTGTAGTCCTAACTTACGAGGACAACATCGTAATTGTGGCACATGAGTTTTAGGAGAAATTGCAGTGCCACAACGTTTGTTGTGTAATGCCTTTAATAGGCCGCATAGGATTAGTGCAATTCTGTGGTTTTTACAATATTTCCGTTAAACAAGATTGAAGATGCATTCATTAGTTTTCAAATATGCTTGAATGTTATGATAATCAAGTAGTTCTAGCTTCAGTGCTTTTCTTTTGGTTAGATAAAGATTGAACTTTTGGCCAACTAAAGTGATGATAGGCTCTGAAGTTCCTGATAAGTGAAAAGATGAACATACCTGTTAGAGTTACCTTATTCCGACGCAAAAGGCATGAAATTGACTTGAATAAGCTCTTTGTTACTGAAAGTTGTATCATTTTCTACAGTTATCCAAGACAATTGACATCACACACCATTGTGTACTGCTTTATCATATTGGTTTGAAATTGCATGTCTACAGAAGAAAGCCCTTCCACCACTATAAATAATTAGGAGGAAGTGATTTTACATTCTGGTCAAATTTTATAGGTGTTGTAATAATCTAATATATTCTTTTTTTTTTTTTTTTTTTTTTTTTTTTTTTTTTTTTTGTGTGTGTGTGCAAAGACAAAACTTAGTGGTTTGCCTAGGTTTTATACGTAATATTATTTTATTTTTCGTGGGATGGGACAAAGTAAGGATTACCTGCACTCTTTAATGTACTTGTCTCTGGATAAAAAAAGAGGGGGGGGGGGAACAAGTATATCTGAACCCATTTAGCATGTTATAAAATCACTTTTATAAAATGAATGTTTATGCCACACTATTTTAGTAATTATCGTGGTTGAATGTTTTATAATTCACAAAGTTTAGTTGGTTTGATTTGTTCAACATGTTTTAAGTTTTATTACGTGAGCAATAATGGTGCTTATGGGGACACTTTTGAAGTGGACATTTCCTTGTCCCCCCCCCCTCCTCTCTTCAAAAATAAATTAAAATTCAAAGGGCATAGCTTGTAAGTTACAACCTGTGCCGGGTTGACCTACAAGAGGCTCTGTCCTAGTAGTGCCTTTTCCTTGCCTAAAAAATGAGCTTATTCTTGAAAATTTGTCTTAATAAAAATATATACTAATTCTGTTTACCTTGTCATTCCACAGGCTTGGGAAGGATTTTCCCATGAACCCTGATTCTGGCATTTTTAGATGTGCAATCTGTCAAGTAGATCATCCCGCAAATGAAGGTCTATCTCTTAATTCTGGGACATTCTTTTCTCCTTCATCAAAGCCCTGGGAGGGACCCTTTCTTTGTGCCAACTGCCGTAGGAAGAAAGATGCCATGGAAGGAAAGAGGCCAATCAAGCCTACAATTTCAATCTAACAATTTATCTGGTAATATAATCAATTGTCTATATATTCTTTTTGTCTTTGAAGTGTGAGAATGCTTTTCATCTCTCTACTGTGCGTGTTGTAGATGTGTGTATGAAGTAAGAGGGTGGAAGAAAGTTCAGTAGTTGATTTTCCCTAGAGTTTTTAAGCAGCTCTTATTAGCTATCAATTATCCCTGGCTTTTGGAGTTCCTGACTAAAGACTCAGACTACTGTGTGATCTAGTATGCATTTAGATCAGTTGCTAACATCTTCTACATGTAATTAACCAGTGAATGATAGTGATTTGCTCTATGGTAATTAATTTCTTTGGCTTTTTTAGCTAGATGCTAGACTATTGATATTCAACAATGTCTATTTTTTCTTGATCTCTAAGTCTAATGTTTGAAAGAGACGTGGTTAAACATTAATAGACTTATGAGAGCAAAATGTTTTAGTGATCCGCGAACAAAGGTAACAAAGTGTTTAATCAGTTGGATTTTCTTTATCGCTGTGGCTACATGTTGAGCATTGATATTACAATATGAAAGTGAGGCAAACTTCCAAATACTTTTGAAGGTATTTTTCGGCTTCCAGTGGAACCAGTTTAGGCGGCAAAATGAAAGGTAGCTCTCTGTGATTGTAATCTGCCTGATGTAGCTCTCTGTAGTCCATGCCGAATTGCCAGTAATTTACTTTGAAACGCCGAGACTGTTCACTCTGCTTCTACCTTTGAGCTCCGTTCCATGCTTTGATGACCCATCCAACTCCAGTGTTGATATAACTATACAAAATTTTAATGATACAACTCGAGCAATCTGATTCATGACCAAGTGGAGCGGATGAATTTTCATGATACAACTCGTACATGATGAATAAGTTTATAAATGAACTGAGGTGATGAATTTAGGGGGTGATGGAAAGATCAAGTGGAGCGGATGAATGTGGTGTTATTTTAATTTTTTTTTTCCCTCCAGTATGAAAATAGCTCTTCTTTCCACTACCGTCTGTCTGCTCTTGAGGAAAGAAGAAATGCTAGGTGATATAGAGTAGTATAATTATAATCCATTTCTCCGTCCATCTTACTATAAAGTTCAAACTACTCTGTTTAGTTTACCTTATTAAATTCGATCTTTAGCTTTAATTAAACTTTGACCTTATTTGTACACTAATTTGTAAGGTGAAAAACTATCATATGAAAATTTATTAGATGACAGAAGCTAACGAACGCCTTAGGACGTTAGATAAGATAACTACACTGATCGCCGTGTGATTTTGTCATGCAAACTCGAATTAATATCACTTTAGGTAGAATTTTAAATGCTTGTTCATTAGCAAGATCCATTTATTACTTCAAGCGTTCCCTTTTTTTTTTTTGACATAAGAATATGTCTCGTACTAGCTAATGATACAAATATGCTCTTAATATGCTTTAAGATTAAAAAAAAATTAAACAATCTACTAAATTTGTATAAAATCCACTAAATTTGTATAATTAGAATTTAGTGAATTTTATACATAATTTTATGTATAAATATAATGTTTACTGAAATTAACACTCTCAAATCTTTGCCATTGTTAAAATTTGTAACAAATGTAACACTTTGAAAATTGAAACAGTGTGACAATTAGTAATTACTGTATTACGCCGTATGGAACAACGGAGGAGTTCACAAGAATAAAACCCACACTCCACAGTCCACACCACAGTTGAGTACTTGACCTTCGAAAATAAGAAACATTTCATTTGAAGAAGGATAAACCGACTGAGTAATTGTTTCCAGATTATGTCTCGATCTGTTCTTGTTGCCAAAGCTTTTCTTCGTCCTTATTTTCATGGCGCCACTTCAAACAAGCTTCTTCCTCTTCACTTTCATGGCGGATTCACAAGTAAGCTTCCCCATTTCTCTATTCCTTTCCCCCTTTTCAATTTCACTTTTCCCCTCTTCAATTCCCCCTCTTTTCACCTTTTATTTCTGTTTCCTTACCGAAATTACTCTAATTACGCTAGTCATGATTTTGATTCTGATTCTGATTTTGATGACCCCAATTTGTTTCTCAAATTTGTTAGACAAAAATCCAAATTAGGGTTTATTAATGTCGAAATTCCCCTTTCCCATTTCCATCATATGAAATCAATGCGCCCTCTTCCTTCAATCATTGATTTCTGTATTTTATTGAGTGCTATGTGTAAGATTAAACCCCACCCCCCTTTCTCCACTGTCATTTCTCTTTCTAGGCAGCTCCATTTCTTAGGTCTTCGTCCAAATATTTACTCCCTTACCATCCTTGCTAATTGCTACTGTCGTTTGAACTTTGTTGATTTTGGGTTCTCTGTTCTCGCCAATTTTATTAAACTTGGTTTTCAACCTGATATTGTCACCTTTAATACCCTCATTAACGGCTTCGTTCATACTCATCAGTTGGACAAAGCTGTTCCTTTATTGGATAAAATTCTCAAGCTTGGCTACCAACCCACATTAATCACCTATGGCTCTATCTTCAAAGGTCTCTGTAGGTCAGGTGATAATGCCGGTGCTCTCAAACTCCTCAGAAATATGGAGTCTTATGGCCATTCTATGCCTAATGTTGTCATTTACAACACCATCATTGATAGTCTCTGTAAAGACCAGTTATTACCTGAGGCTCTCCGCCTTTTCAAGGAGATGAAAGTCAAGGGAATTTCCCCTGATGTTGTCACCTTTAATACCTTAATTCGAGGTATGTGCACTTTGGGACAACAGAAAGAGGCTCAAGATATGCTGACTGAGATGTTAAGGAATAACATAACTCCTGACATACAGACCTACAACATATTTATTGATATTTATTGTAAAGATGGCAAGGTTGGTCAAGCAAAGAACATTTTTGAATACATGACTAAGAGAGGATTGGTTCCTGATATCATCACTTACAGCGCTCTGTTAGACGGATATTGTTTACGGGGTGAGATGGATGCGGCAGAAAAGCTTATGGATTTGATGGTTGAAAATGGTTGTAAACCTAATGTAGTTACTTACAACAGCTTAATCAATGGCTATTGCAAGTCTAAAAAGATAGACAAAGCTCTTGGTCTGCTACAAGAGATGCATTCTAACAGATTATCCTCTGATGTTACCACATACAACACTCTTATAGATGCCTTGTGCAAAGACAATCAGCTCAAGCTTGCACAACAGTTTTTCAAGGAAATGGAAGCTCATGGATTAAAGCCAAATATAATCACTTGGAACTCATTGCTTGACGGCATGTGTAAGAATGGACAAATAGATGAGGCAATTGCAACAATGAAGAAAATGGAGAATACTGGAGTGGTCCCTGATATTATTACATACAGTATCCTAATGGATGGTCTGTGTGAAGCTAATCGCCTTGGTGAAGCGGTGGATATTTTCACTTCTCTGCGAACAAAGTGCTTACATCCCGATGTGTTCAGTTACAATATAATTATAAAAGGATATTGCAAAGAGGGTTTGCTGGGTAAAGCTACTAAAGTTGTAGAGGAAATGGAGGACAATGGATGCTCACCTGATGAGTGTACCTACAACACAATTATTAAAGGATCTATCTATGGCAAGAATATAAGCAAGGCTTTGGAACTAGTCTCCACCATGAGAAGCAAGAACTTTGCAGCCGATGCTCATACTTCTTCTTTATTTGTCAACTTACTCTCAAATCATGCTCTCTGTGATTCTGATAAGGCTTTACTTCGAAATTTTTTTAAGACATGAAAACTGTGATGTATGATTGTATGGTTAAGGTCTGATTTACTGGTTATGGAATTTATAATGATATTTAAATAATATAACCTGCATTCTCTAGTGCTTAGCTAGGTTCAAAGACGAAAGCTTTGCAGATATTATTAATGCTTATTATTTGCTCTCTGTCTTTATCAAGTAAAGAGTATTGCAGTTTGAGGCTTGTAAATTTCCTGCATCAGAATTTTTGAAAGATGCACTGATCTTTTGGAATTAAAGCTTGTAGCCTCCTAAGGCCTGACTCTTATAATATTCGGCTTTACCAGTCCAGTAATTGAGGTGTCTGATCTTTCTTTGTCGTTTGAGTAATATTTTTCTCTGCTGTGCTCTGTTTCTTATTGAGGTTTTTGCTAACTGAACTTTGAGCCTACATATGCGTTCATTGCTCAATGCTCATCATAGTATTGTTGTCCCTCTTGCTGTTTTAACAATCTGTTAATCCTGTTATCAGTCAGATAGACTTGTGATCCATCCTTTCGGTATGATTTTTCTTTTGCAGTAGTTTTTTAGAACAATGAAAATATACATAGAAGTGAGATTCGATTGATTGGTTATTTATTGGTGTAATTTCTCTTACCCAGCATGTGATTTAGTTGGTCAATAATTACAATTACTCCGTACTTAATTAATGTTTTAGTGTATATAGTTCTAATTTGTAATTGTATGCTTTATTTCTTGATTGATGTTACAATATCTTTTTAAGTTTATGATTTTTGTCTATGTTAGTTATTTTTTGTGACATAATACGAGTTTATTGCTCCCTTTGTCCCTATTTGTTGGCTTCATGTAAGTATAGATTAATAACTTCAATTTTATATTCGTTAATTGTTGGATTCGTCTAATTGTATATTGAATCTATATTTCATTTGTTTTTTTAGTCACTAAGGTAGTCAAAATAGGATTTGTGAATAGTGTCAAAGTCAAAACATATCAACTTAAAAAAAACGTAGGAAGTATCAAGTTTCATAAAGTAATTTCTTCGCTTATGAAAATAGAGATAGGTGCATTTTTATACTTGTGTCCAAAACCGTAAAAAGTCAAATGAAACAAACTATTAGGGACACAGGGACTGGAATTTTAGGGGGAGCTAGTTTACAATTGAGATTACATTGACAATATCTAAAATATAACAGCAGAAACAAAATAGATCAATCAACTGAAATTCATCATAGTTTCTGGTTGAATAGATGCTTAATGTGAACAACTATATAAAAATCACATCACAAACAAGTTGTGACTGATTGATTAATGTTGATCTTACATTAGAAGCAACAATAATAGGAGCATATTTATTCATAAAAGTGATTAATATGATAAGCAAGAATACAAATCAATTATCTCCTGCATTCTTCTTAAGGCTAGCAATCCTCTCATTAATCTCCTTTGTAAACTTACGAGCCAGCATACAAAGATCCATGGAATCCTCCAAATTCAGCCCTTCAAGGGTCCTTGTCCCATTTAGACACTCATACATGATGTTGGTAATCTCCTTCTCCCTGTTAATTTTCTTCATCTTTTCCAACACTTGTTCTGCTTTCGCGATCCTTTGCTTCAGGTATTTCTCCTGATCAATCATCTTTCTTCTCTAGAACTCTAGGAAGGTTTTGGGTGTTAACCTAAGTAAGAGGAGTATTTGTGACTTATGAGTGTGTTGCTCTAGGACTTTATATATGGAGGTTTGGAGGGATTAGGGTTATATTCATTGGCCAACTTTTATAGTCTAATTAAGTAAATATGAATAATATGAATATTAACAATAATAGTAATGTTAATAATTGAGAGATGAATTATTTTTTATACCGTTTGAGTGATATTCGGTAATCTCTTATATAAGGGAAATGATTGAAGCTTTAAATGGCGTATATTGGATCTTTAATACCTCAAATAATTAGAAGGCTCGTTTCATCAAAAAGGTTTTATCCCTAATTATTAAAAATCTTGCATCACCTATATTAACTTAGGGTCCGTTTGGCATTATTGTGGTTTTCTGTTTTTTGATTTTTTTTTTTTTGTTTTTTAAAATCATATAATATATGTTATATAATGAATTAAAAATTAGTCAAACTTATTAAAATCATGATAATTTAAAAAACTGACAACAAAAAAATGGAAACACCTTTTTCTTGTTTCCTGTTTTTGGTTTTTTGTTTTCAAAAAAACAGAAAACTAAAAACAAAATATTATGTCAAACAAGCCTTAATTATTCACTTTAAATCAATCAAACTCTACAATCTGCTTTCTTTTAAATTCACTTTTAATCAATATATGCATCTTTAATCAACCAAATCGTACCGTCTTATTATTTATAATTTACTATCCTAAAAACTTGGGCAAAAGGTAAATGAGTCTTTTGTTTAAGGATAAGTGAGGACCGAGGTAGATTGAAACTTTGAAAGTATTAATTCAGTGTATGTAGCTATATATGTTCTCTGTATTAGATAATACTTATTGAAAGTAATTGATGGCTTTTAGCTAGCTAGGTTTCCTAATCTTGATTTTCCTAAATTATGAGATTTTATTACTCAATAATTAGGTTTAATAGAATAATTATTAAGAAAAAAAAAAGGAAACGGATAAAATACGTTAGTTGGTGGTGAAATTTAATTTTTTAGATTTTTAATAGTGGTAAAATAAAATCAAAAGAGAGAGAACCCAATGATCCTTCAAAGTGTCAATAGTATGAACCCCCCTCCCCCCCCCCCCAACAATATTAACAGCTCCCTTGTAAATTAACTCCCTAGCTGAGCGAATTGATCTCCAAATGTAACTCGCGTTTGAGCTCACTTTCATACTCATAAAATCTATGTTCGGAAAACATTTCTACTATAGAATTTTCACCATGAATTATTGATAAACCAATTTTTAACTTTCATATTGTATGATAGGTTTCTTCTTTTTTTTTTTTTTTGGGAGGGGTGGGGGGGGGGGGGGATCGGACATCCCCTTAAGTAATAACTTAGGGCCTTTCAGTTTAGCTTAATTTCAGTTCAATTCAGCTTCAATCAGTTCAGTTCAATTCAGCTCCGAATTTCCTTCCACCAACGATAGTGTTATATATATATGTTGAGTTCATCTTACAACCACGAATTTAAAAAAAAAAAAAAAAAAAAATCTACACCCATATTGCCAATTTGTATGCCCTTTAGATTATATTTTACATTGACATAAAAAAAATCTTTAATTTTGAGCATGAAATAAAATTGAGAGCAAGATGAACACTTATTAAAAGAATTAAACCATTAGAAATTATAAAAACTTATAAATAGTTCATAATTTTTAAGTATCATACTCCAATCCTTACATATTTAATTAATAGGGACATTGCATATAAATTATAATCACATAACAAACAAGTTGTGAGTAAATCACATAACAAAGAAAATAGATGTGGATCCCTATTACAAGCATTTTCCCTCAAATAATTAATTAAACATTCATGTATACTAATCAATTATTATCAATTCCTTCATTAACCTCAAGGCTTTTAATTTCAATTTCTTCATCAACCTCCTCTAACATCTTCTTAGCCATCAAAACAACATCTTTCCTATCCTCCAAATTCAATTCTCCAAGGTTTCTTACACCATTCACACACTCATACATGAGTTGAGTGATCTCCTTCTCCTTGTTATCTTTTCTTAGCTTCTCCAAAAGTTGCTTGGCTTTTGCGATCCTTTGCCTTAGATACGCCTCTTGGTCCAACATCCTCTTCTCCTGATCCTCCGGGGAGAGGTCCTTGAACCTCTCAAGCACGCGACGTGCATCAGACCGGCTTGGCCATGCCTCGGTACGTGCAGCATAAGGGCTGTGAATAAGTAAACAACCTTCCACCGCACATAAGGTGGTAAGCTCGGTCAACTTCTTTAGAAGACCCTTCTTCCTCTTCTTGAAGGTTGCCTTTCTTGCTGAGTCATTGGTTATATACTCAAGCTTCAGCTTTTTCCTGGCCATTTTTTTTTTTTTTTTTTGACCCTAAAAATTTAGGGAGGTTTTATTTGTGAGTGTGTTTTGCCCTAGAGAGTAAAGGGTATATATAGAGGTTGGAATGTTGGATGGAGGGTAAAGCATTGTTTTCATAGGCCAATTTTTAAAAAGTGAGAAATTTTAATAACTAAATAATTTTTTATATAATATAAATTTAGTAATAAATGAATAAATAATTAAATAAATAGATATGTAATACTCTTTGGCCCATAGTAGTATAATACGAGTAGGCGAGTAGCTATTCTATTTACAACGTCTTAAAACACACCTTTAATCATCAATATCTTTGATTATGTACTAAAGCACATTAAAATCATTAGTAAGAAAGTATAATAATGCGGAAAATTGAAATAATCGTCACAACATATCACATATTATATATATATATATATATATATATATATATATATATATATATATATATATATATATATATATATATATATATATATATATATATATATATATATATATATATATAATAATAATAATAATTTGATGTGTTGTTAATTAACTAGAATTGTCTCAATGTGTAGCTTTTTTTTTTTCCTCTTTTGAAAGATGTATCAATGAGTAGTTTTATAAAACTTCTATCAACTATTTATAATTATAGTTATTGCAAAATTAAAGATATTGATGGTCAAACGTCCGAGTTAAAGGTTGTATAGATGAAAATAGACAGTATATAATGGGATGGGGTAACATTTTAATGTATAGAGTTGGACAATGAGTACTCTAAATGTAAAAATACTTGAAGAGAAAAGTTGGCCTTTTGCTATCCATATCTTGATTATCCTTAATTGTTATGATTTATTACTTTTTTTATTTTGACACATCATGATTTGTTACCTTTTTTAAAATAAAACAAAATCATCATGATTTATTACCTTAGATGTTCAAACAAACAACAACTTTGTGTGGCTAGTCACACCGTGTAGCCAGCTAACACACAAATAATCCCTCATCAAGTAACTTATGACCAAGTAACTCATGACCGACCAAGTAACCCATGATTAAGTAATCTCTGACTGACCGAGTAACCCTAGACCAAGTAACCTCTGATTGTGAGAGTAACCCCTGACTGACCTAGTATTAATCCCGACTATTCTTTTCAAAAAAATGTGGTTGATTACACGATGTGACTAGCCACATATAAAACCTTGTGCCAAACCAAATAATTTCCAAAAAGGAAATATATCAAAATTTCAGCATAGAAATCATTCAATATTAAGGTGTCAAAATTAATTCAATCATATTTCGACTTATATGGACCCAATAATATAACATGCCTTTTTTTTTTTTTAGCATGACTCAAACTTGGACTAGATCAAACCCAACTCTAGTGACCCTGGCCATTTACCCAAATTAACACTTTTTATAACTTGCCAACTTTACTGAGTTAGATACATTAATGGACATATTATGGAGTATTTGTCATATTGTTGAAAGTTTTAATTGTTTTCATTAAACCAAAAATGTATACTAAAATACTTCATCTGTTCTTTTCTATTGATAGTAAACGTTTTACATTAATCATAAACTTTATTTTGACTAATTTTTGTGATTTATATTTTATAAACAATTGTCATATTTATTAGAATTGTCTTATTGAATATCATCATAAAATGAACTATTTGTATTCTTAACTCATTTATAATTAGATATAATTTTGTTCAATATGTGTCATTAACAAATATGATTATAAAAAATAATAATAATAATGCATCAAATTCATAAAATGTTGTTGACAAATGACCAAAAAATAAAGGATTTCCAATAAAATTGTAAATTTTTGCTACTCGATTTGCCATGCCACATAAGCTTTTTAAGCTAATTGTCATTTTTGCTACTTTGAACTCTAATGGCTAGCTATTAGTTAACTATTTAAATGAACCCCACTTATTTTATTAATTTTTTTATATTTCATTTTACATATTCTTTTATTTTTTGGCAAATTTTTTCCCAAGCTAATTCAAAACTAATTTGCTTGGCCAATCTAATTGCATTTTTTAGCTTCAATGGCCAAGCTAATAGTTAGAGATTTTTAAAAATTGCAAATAAGTCACTAAATATTAATAATCGCAACAACTTAACCATTTAGTTTAATGATATTAATCATCATCATCATAGAACTAAACCACTTTGTTTCTCGGACATCCAGCAACGCCAACCGCCGAACATTAAAAAAAATGGCAGGATTATACAAGTAATACAACTAATGCAAATCGAAAGAAAAAGAGCATAATTTAGGGTGGTAGACAGATACACTAAAATACTTCAATAATGTAGAGCACAAAATAATACTCCGTGTTGGTTCTTTAGCAAATTGCAATTCGAACAATTCTCTCCAGAAGTTGCAAGATATTCAATTAAAGCGCACATACATATATCTTACAAGAGGCGAAGCTCCAAGATGAAGATGTCATATTTCTACAATCAGTAACTAATTTGACATCACTGCAATCCTTCCCCTGCAAACGCGAAGACATGCATGGTAAGAATACTAAATTTCAGAAACAGCTGTCAGTTAGAGATAAATCAGCAGATGAATACTATTTCATTGCTTGCTGGCTTGCTGCTACTCGAAACACAGTAAGAGCAAAACTTACGCAGTTCTTCAAAGGGAATATTGGTAGTACTTTCTCCAGGCTTTATGAGTCGAACCTTACCTAACAAATTCAGACAAAAGCAGAAGAAAGATAAGTATGTTGCTAGACTGTTCAATATATATCTCGTACAAGGAAGCAGTCTGTGAAAAGTAGCATAAGATTCTGGAAGATAAGCATGTCTCAGAAGGCAAAATGCATTCTGCAGCATAATAATTCACAATTAGCAATTTGTGATATGGCAAAAAGCTCCTTTCTAAAGTTTGAAAAATAAAATGAAAAGAAAATTACAGAGGGAACAACAATCTAGTTGTTTAGAAACATGACACCCTCCAACAAAGCCATAATCCAAATGCCTGAGCACACATGAACATAGAAAACAATAAACTTTAGCTTATTGTTTATCTCAGAGGACAAGCAATCAAGAGAAAAAGAATGGCCATAGGTTTTTATAAAAGAGAGGTCAAGTTGGATTGTTGGAGGATGTATGTGTTGACAATTGAGGGCTCCAGGTATTGCACAAAGTCCACCTAAGATACAGCATAGATTTTTGGGTTTGTGTTTATTTTGGTTAGGTGCAAATGTCAGGGATCAAAATGCCATACTTTCTACTTTCTATTCAACCACTGTTGGCTTCAAAAGGCTCACAGCTCACTAGTAGATAACAAGTAACAGACTTACAAGAATCACTCTCTAGTCCTATGTTTTATAAGCTCTTCGAACATTAAGCAGGCACCTTTCAAGATTTAGAATTTTCTATCCAAAAATCAAATATACAAACGTTTCAGTTTATTATACTCCATAGATTTAAATCACTAACATTAGGTATTCTCTACCAAATGGAACCCTTTCAGAGCATTCTCAGTTTCTCACCCATAGCTTAATCAAATGATTCCTGACATAAGATATAAAATAAGTTCCTGTACATATGATTGCAGAACATCTCAAAAACTGCATTTGATACACCATCACAAATTCATAATAATGAGTAATGAATGATTCCTAGATAAATCTATAGGATGTGCAAGACAGGGGCAGAAGCCAGATGAAACATCAATCAGTGGTTATAACAGGTAGAGCAAACAGAATTAACCCAACATGACAACCTGACCTAAACCAAACATGATAGCAGCAGCTTTGCAATGATACAATTCATAATCGAGTGGACATAAAAACACAGTTCAACTCAATGGTTCAGGTTAGAGTGGACGATTCCTACTGGAAAATAACCTACTTAACTCACTAAGATATACTTCGTATACCGTAACTACAAAAGCACCCAAAAGTACAAGGGTCAATGTGAAAGTTGGCCAAAAAATGCTATACCAAATGGTAAAGATAGATCATGGTTTTAAGATTTCTACGAAGTATATTTTAATTTCACAACTAACAGTACAAATATGAGTTGAATAATCATAGGTTGAGTAGAGTCAACTATTTCAGTATTTTAAAACATATGTACAGGTTTGGGAGTTCAACATATTCATTTTCTACCCAACCAAACACAACCAGTTTACCAGCATAAAATAAATGTAAAGCAAAGAAAAAAGGATAGTGCAATAACCAAATAGGAGTCTATTAAAGGATGAATTTCAAACAAAAAATACAAAAATAAATGCATAACCAAAGACATACCATCATTGCGAACACAAATTTCTGGCATTCGCACAACTTCACCAGTAATGCCTTTATTGTAAACTCGAATTTCAATGTCACCCTCAACATAAACTGAAGAGCTGCAACAATCCACAAAAAATTAGTAACATCACAGACATATACAACGGAGTAAATTATACATCAAAGTTACACAAACATACTTTTTCACAAGTTGCTGAACAGCATAGGCACCAAGCATTTCATTATGGACAACGACACGATGCCATTGGGCTGGCTTTGGCAAGTCTTTTGCACCCATTACTCTATGGTCCCATAAGCCGCCTGTTCCAACATTAAAGATGGTCAAGGTTCTTCCACTTCGTAACAGCTTCTGCACAGGGCTTTGACGAACTTTCCCACATATGATTGCCTGATTAACAACATGAGTCAAAACCATTTATCTAACACCTCAACCTTCCAAGCATTACAAAAATATAACTTATTTCAATGCCTTCTAATAACTAGTGAATCACCTTATGAACACCCCTGAAATTCCAACCCCTTTTGGGATCTACGCCTTGCGGTATCGACTCTCGCTTCTCAGGAATAAAATCATCATGGAAATCATCTGCTCCACTGTTCTTTGCACCATCATTATCACCATCAAGAGACACCGTTGAGTAACATAGCTTCGAGCTTCTTTGAACTCCAGACACTAGTCATTTACAATAATTACACACCCCCAATTCACAAAAAACATTCACAAAAGCGTTAAATCACGCATTGCACAAAGCACACCACCCATTTGATAAAATGCCTCTGAGAAAATGTACTCCTATTTCTAATTATACGACTAAACCATCAAATATTTTGAGAAATTCAAGCTAATTATTGAATTAAATCAAAACCCATATGACCAATTAACAATATTTTGCAACTAAAACGCTCCAATTAAAGACCATTGTTAGTATTACAATAGAAAGATCAAAAGATAAACACTTGATGATAAAAATGATTCAAAGATAACAGAAAATGAGGAAGAGAGAGAAAATAGAAACTTACGGAGAGCAGAAGTCGATCTTGCAGAGGATGTAAATTGGTTTGCAAATTTGGCAGCAAGGGACGACATTGTTATCAAACTCAAACACAAAGATCGAAAATGGAGAACAGTCGAGGGTTTAACCAGGGTTTACCTTCACCGCCAACACGGGACGCATTGTTCTATAAATAAGTGAAGCGCTGCGTTTTATCACTTGATGCACTATGGAGTATATTTACTATTGCCACTAGTCTATTAAGGGTAAGTTTATCCCCAGACTCTGATTAATACTCCAAACTCTGCCACATCAGCTTTCCACTAGTTTTTAATTACCTTTTTATTATTCAAACTTACACAACACTCTCTCCATTTTCACACATTATCCCAAGACTCACTGCAGACTCACTTACCTTCCTATATACTAACATTAATTTTATAAATCTATTTATTTTATAAAATTATTTTTAATACTAATGATATAAAATATATGCCAAGTGAGTCTTGAGTTGAGTTTGGTTTTTAAAGACTCACTTCAAGACTCCTCCAAATTTCAAGCAAGATTATTGGTAAGACTTAATCAAGACTCTACTCAAGACTCTCCACAAGACTCCCAATAAACACACCCTAAGTATTTTATTTTATTTTTTGAATAGTCTAGTCTATTAAGTATTAACCTATATGATTTATATCTAAAAAAAATAAAAAAAAATAAAATAAGAAGAAGAAAAAGTATTTACCTATACTAAAAGCAAATCTTTTCATATTTCAAAATATTTTTTAATATCTTTTATATACTTTATATTTTGTAATATGGTAAAAAAAATACAATATTAAACAACTGTGCATTACACGAGATTTTGACCTAGTAATCACAACAAACTTTTGTAAGATTTGTCATCTCACAGCCAAAAGATTAGTGATAAAACCCCATTAAGAGGTACTTTGAGTGAGGATTCGATCACTCTCTCATCTACTTCCTAACTAGGGCCGAGTTCACATGTGAGGGCATTGATAGTATTTTGCATAGTTGTTTGGTTTATACAAAAAAAAAATGAAGTAGATGATAAGAAGTATATCACCAAGGTCTAGTCGTATTGGTCAATTAGGCAAATATAACAAGCCTCTAGTAGTCATAATCTTTATATACTCCCAGATACATACAGAAGTAAACGCACTTAAATGAAATACCCTGAGATGCATCTTTCACCTGATTGAGTATAAAAGTTTTCACCTAGTAGTCTTACTTTAGGTTTAAACATTTTGATTTATACATAATATGTTGCAAGCTTGCAATTGAAACAAATCCAATCAACTTTGTGCCAAAATACATGACAAGTCTACATAGTGTTACAATGTTGCATTGTTTGCGATTTAACTTACTTTCTTCAACTGCATATTATGATTGGTACACATGGAAAAATTAAGCACCATAAGCCAAAGATGAAGTAACAAAACCGAACACAGCTGAGAATGACTTCATATTCTGATGCTAAGCACAAGCAATAAAGAATCTGTTATTCAAAGTATACAATGCTCAAATATCCAGAAGTCCTTCATCGAGTTCATCCTCGACAAGTAGGGCAACAAAAGCCCAAAGAAAAATTATAAAGATCAATTATAAGAAATGCCTTGAGAAATTTCAACAAAATTACATTTCACAGTAGCAGCAACATCCCTCTAAACAATCTACTAACTCGACTAAAACATTAAATACGAACAATATTAACCAAAATTGAAATTAACTCTGAGAATAGCCACTGGCCACAAAGAAGTATACAAAGGCACAAAACCATGCGCTGTCTGGACTATCTAATTGCAGCAGCAGGGGTCAGAAATCTTATGAACGAACCCTAAGGACTAGTTGATGACCAACACGGCAACAGCTTAAACACAGCACTCATCACCAAGTGGGCCTTGAACCACCCCCACCAAAACCACGACGATCATCAGATCGCCACTTATCAGTGGACGGAGCTGGGGTAGACCCAGCAGCTTTCTCCCTCAAGTGTCTAGGAACATATTTTCCAGGTGCTTGACCAGCAGGGGCAGGGGCAGCAGCTGGTGCAGCAGCAGGGGCAGCAGCTGCTGCTGCAGCAGGAGCAGCCACAGCCTGGGGCCTGGCAAGAGGAGTTGTCTCAGAAGACTGAGCAGCCTCACCAGCAAGGATCTGCTGTCTTCTCAGCCTCTCTTTTTCTTCAAGTTCCCGCTCTCGTTGCCGTTGCTTCTCAGCAATTTCATCCAGCTTAGCTTGGCGCTCAGCTGATTCCTTTCTTTTTCTCTCAGCCTCTGCAGGTTTAAACACCAAAAATGATAAATATATAAAAAGTAAATGGTCATCAAGTTAAATATAAAGACAAGGTCCAAGGTTGGCAAAAATCCAAGGGTCATAAGCTGAGAGAAAACTGAAGCCAGAAGTGGACTGAAGAAGAGGATGTATGCCTACCTTCATGCTTTCGTGCTTCTTCCTCTTCACGCAGCTTGTTCAATCTTTCCTCTTCTGATCTCAAATAAAAAATCATCTTCCGCTTGGCTACCCTTTCTTGTCTACGTGACTGGCGAATTTGGTTATAATGCTCTGCCCGTTCTTGTCTCAATCTTTCAAATTCAGATTGGCGACGATTCACCACTCTTTCTTGGAAAATCCTCTGAAAATAAGATGGATGGTGAGACACAACCATATATACCTAATATAACCTTGGCCAATAAAGACAAACACCCACTTATCTATTTTAAATTTTTAATGATATCTAGGAAGGAAGAGCAAAACCAACATAGATCTACTTAATAATTTAATATGTGTTTGACAACAAGCAGAGAAAAAATAAAGTAATCGCATCCCCTCAGGATATGAGCTGCTGACCTTGTTTTCCATCACACGAGCTAATCTATTCTTTTCCTGAAGGTCGCCATCGTGGCGTTGTCTGCTGAGCTCAACCTCAAGCTGAAAAGTAAAATTTAACTGGTTAGGTTGTTCTAAATGAGGTATAAACAGCGCATGCACTTTGAGCAAGCAATAAAGTTTTAGTACAGTATGGGACAGAAATTTAACTGTGCTCTTTCAGTCCAATTTATTTTTTCTTAGTTACTGTGTTTCACACAAGTCTCTGTTACTTTTGATAATTGCTGCTAAGATGCTCTACAAACCTCAAATTTCTAACCCCATAAATCCCGAATTTTTAGAGTACTTAAAAAAGCAGTATGTTAGAAGAATAAAGAGAGCAACAAAATTATTTCATATATGTGAAAATGACAAACAGTGATAGATTAAGGCAAGATTAAACCATGCGCTAAGGCAAGTCGTGTACAGTATTCCCAAATACCATTAGTAGGCAGAATATGAGCAAAAACGTAATAATACACCAATACAACATCTCACTTTATGTTAACAAAATATAGTCACTACCCGAATTAAAAAGCCAAAATTTACACTAAACAGACAATATTTCAAAATATATCTTAAATTCTTGATGCCAAATATTTAAACGTACAAACATACTATTATTTCATCAAGTGAAGAGAGTTATAGACAAAATTTCAGATTAAAGTAAAACTGTCTTTCATACAAATCTATTTAAAATGATGAGAATGCCACTCAAATTCAGACACATCTTTTCACAACTGATTTACCGTACTCAGACCCAAATCACAGTAAGGTTTGAAAGGAGAACCTGTTAGCTCTGAGCAGTTATTTCTAAGTAGTGGGTGATCTATATAATACAGTACCAAGTAATTAAGAGAATTTTAGGTGTACCTGTTGCTCACGCTCATGCAGAAGCTGTTCCTCAACCAGGCGTTGTTGATATGCAGCTTCTATTAAAGGAGCTGCCTCCTCCCTCTTAGCTCTCTCAAGATAATCCATCTGCTTGCTCAACTTCTGCAGTTTTTTCTCCATTTCTTGTTTCTCCCTCAGCTGCTCATTAAGAGCCAACTCCAACAATGCTTGTTTTGTCATCTTATCCTGAAATTACACCATAACACACAATTGGAGCACTAACCTTCCAGCAAAACCAAAATATATTTTCAGAACACAACACTCACCCCTTCTATAATTGGCTTCTTCTTATTTTTTGAAAACTTTTCATGAAGTAGAGCTTTGGCTTCTTCCATCTCACGCTCTTCGATTTCCTTTTGAATGCGTTGAAGTTTCCTCTTCTCAATTTCGATAGCAAGCCTTTTCTGTTCAGCTTCTTCATTATTTTTCTGTTGCTGCATTCTCTTCAACTCTTCCTCACGTTCCTTTACATACAACAAAGAAGTCAAGTCTCTAAAACAATAAAAGTACCTCATTAAAAGGTAAAGCAAGTAATGGACAAACCTTCTCCAAAAGCTGGCGTTCTTGTTCCTCTTTGCGCTGTTCAATAATTGTTTTTCGAGCAAGAAGCTTCTTGTGTTCCTTCTCTACAATCTCAGCTAAACCAGGTAAAGTATCTCCAATTTTTGATGCTTTATTTAAGGGAGGATATATCATGGACCTTGCTTTATTCAATGATTCAGCAAGCGCTGTAAGGTGATTTTTCAATGTATCAGATTCAAGATCCTGCATTAAACACCATGATCAGTCAATCGACTTTAACTAGTGACCCTTGTAATCTGGACACCTTAATCTTAACAGGGGTAAAGCACATAAAAGAACATCTGATAAATCCGAATGTTAGACAGCTTAAAGGCCTCAAACAGGAAAAACATGATGGTTGAAAAATAACCCGAGAGAAAATCACCTGTACTTGCTATACACACTAAAAGGAATATTCAATTCAGCAATAGATTTAGAAAAATACTAGTTAAAATAACATATATTAAACGTCCTGTAAGACATCTCTTAAAGATGATTCATCAAATGAATCAAATGAAAGCCAATCAGAAAAAACTGCCCTTTGCATATATAGATTCTCCCTTGTTAGATGACAACAATTCTTTAGAAATATATGTACTTCAGCAAAATATAAAACCTGATTATTCACAAACACCCACCCACCCCCAAATAAAATATAGGAATATAATACACATACATACCCCTGTGTGTGTGTGTGTCTCTCTCTCTCTCTCTCTCTCTCTCTGTGTGTGCAAGCGCACGAGTGCACAACAAAATATACAATCCAAGAGAGGACAGAATAAAAGACAGAAAAAGGAGTAAATAGTAAATTATATTTACATCAGAATATAATTAGACAAGTTTTATAACAAAGCAAGTAATCAAGTATGTCAAAACAATAGCTAATAGATACAATGCATAGATGCTGAACCCAAGAGCTTACCAAAATACTAAATGAAACAGCACCATTTATATGGTCAACCTTCATGGTTAAGAACTTATGTTTGACAGCATCAACTGAAATCTTTTCCACCACAGAAAAATCAAAAAATGGAACCATCTGGGACAAACTCTCAATTGTCATTGTCTGGTAAACTTGAGAAGCCTGGAATGCCAAAAGTAGGATATTAGTAACACTGAGGGTTGATATGACAAAGTGTGCCAAGATACAATTACAAAATACACATGACAGAGATACAAAAGGATTATAAACAGTGCACCTGCTGTAGCAACCTCAGGGTAGCTAGCTTTTCCAAGGCAAGAACATACTTTGACAATTGCACTTCTGGTACAGAAGAAGCTGAGGCAAGTTTCCCACCAATCTTAGATATTTTGTTCAGCAAGGGCTGAACTTTCAGAGATAAATCCAAGGGAAGAAACTCATGCTCTAGAAGATGATAAAGGTCTTTCACTTCTGGAAGGACACAAGACATAACACCTTTGGAGACCTGCCGATTCCAAAATAAGATAAAAGAAATAAGATAATGTGAAAAAGACCAAATTTCTGCCTAGAACCCTCACTTAAGTTTTCAGCACTGGTTATCTTCAACAATGACCAGTTGGGAATCTTACCAATTCCAAAAGAAGAGCTGAGCGTGATAGCTGTCGAAAAAAGGAAAAAAAAAAAAGAAAAGAACTATCAGAATGGCAAATTGGCAAAAGGTGGATTAACCACATTAATTACAAACAATATGAACTAATGGATAAACAAACTATTTACCACTTCTCTGCTCTCTGGTTTGGGATCAAGATTAAAATTAATAAGATTGGACATTCTCATATTCCTCTCTTTCTCATTTTCAAGTTCAACATGAGATGCACCACGTGTATGGTCATAAGGAGGAACAGAGAGGGCAGCCAAAACCACAGATGATGCTATCGTCTGCAAATCCTTCTGGCTCAAGTTCTTGTTGAAGTTCTTTTGAAGTAAGAAAAGCTTCAGCCAAGCATATGCATGATACAGATGGCTTCCAGAAATCCAAAATATTTCAGTGAGCTTGGCATAGTAAACGACCATCAAAGAAGGTTTCGGGGTCTTCTTAACCATGCACATTAAGCCATGGATATCTTCAACTGAACGAAATGCTTCCTGAAATGCAAAACGAAAGCTTAATCAGAAAAGTGATTTATCTCCAATAAAAGATTAATGTGATCACATGTCAGGAGTGCAAAGAAAAATTTGTAACAGACGACTTCGCCCCTGATAGCAAGAAAAATATTAACACTATCAGCACTGAGTAGTATGGCTCTAACTTAAAGAGTCAATTTTCAGCCGTGTATCATAATGAACTACATCAAAAAAGAATCCTTAAATTCTATGCGCTTCTTGTGCATTGTGAAGTAGACATTATCCGCTGTAGTTCAGACAATGATCTAAGTATAAACAAATCTCTCCATAGTTGCAGAACTAGCATACATCTGACCCTCTGTTACCTCACCTTGATAACAGCACCCTACAGAGGCAGTAGCCTGATGATGATGACAACAAAAATCATCAACTGCCTTTCCAAATTATCAACCTTATACTTCACATCAGCAGTCACAGATAAATGGAGAGCATGTTTTTGAGGGACAGACACGTGTGTGTGTTTAAAATTGACCACGTTAATTTGTGACTTGGAAAAGCAGGCATATAATTCTAAAAGAAATAGGTAGCTTTACAAAAATAATTGTCTTGGCCTGTCTTACCTGCCAAAGTTCAAGTTCCGTTGCAATTTTAAGTTGCTCAAATCTTGTGTCCAGATACAATTGCAAGCTTTCTGGTGCTGTCAGATCAGGCCTGTCTCGTTGGTCTTTGTATTTATTAAGATTTGACAAATGGTTCCTAATTATTTCACATAGTCTACGGAATTCTGTGGTACGTTTGTATTGCTTGCAGAATTGAAAAGCACGATGTGCTGTCATCTGCAAAAGAATAGATCAAATTTTAGAGCCAAAGTAGTTTCCATAATACATACAAATCACAATCTATCTTCCATGACAACTACAGCATTTTAAAGCCAAATAGAGCACAACATGGAACGCCTACTAATAATCAAGAATAAAAATAAATGACATCCTCTTATTTTTAGATAAAAGCCAACTTTATTACACTCAACTAGTTTTGACTGCATTCTCAGAATTAAAGATTGATCAAGAGTCTAAGAAAATATAGCCCTTGTCAGCTTGATAAGATCTACAATAAGGATATTTATACTCCCATCCAAGCATAAGATATATCCAAATCTCCAAAGCCCATATATAACATAGCCAAGGAAAATAAAGCATGTTGCAAAACAAGGAAAGCATACAACAATATTGACATTGTAAATACATGAAAAATATTAATAGGACACTTACAGCATAAAGATTCTCCAATTTTGAATTGTTACGTAATATTTCCAAAACAGTTCTGTATGTCTCCCACAGAAATTTGAACCATGGTGTAACAAGTTCACGATCAGACCTGTCTTTTCCCTTCTCTCCACTAACATAGCTTAGCATTAAATCCTCAGGCCGCTTAACTGCCTCAAGATCATCAACATCAAGTACTTCTTCTAATTCTTGAGCTTGATTACGAGCTGCCTCAGCCCTCTCAGTTGACAAGTGCATGAAATGCTTGATTACTTCCTCTAAAGAGTTCACGTTCACTTGTTGGCACACAATGCGGTATTGTATTAAACCATCTTTGGCATACCTACCCTTCCTCATTTCCACACAAAGGCCTATGTATCTAAACATAATTTTTTCCAATGTTTTCTGCCATGCTCTGTACCTCTTGGAGGTAATAAGGTCATGAAGCGCTTGTAGGGCATCTTGCTTCTGACCAACATTAATCAGCTCTGCATGAAATGAATGTTATAGAGGAAATGAGAACAAAAAAAATAGCAAATACATCAGACATCCACAGATACATTTTACACCTTCCCATGACTATTATTTCTTTCCTTTTTTTTTTTTTTTTTTTTTTGAAAACTTCCCATGATTATTATTTACTTCCTTAAAATTGCCAAGTTTTGTTGGGGTTAAACATAGGAACATATACAAACACTTCTTATGTAAATGTCAACCAAACAATTGCACATATATCTACTTCCTATAAAATTTTCTCCATATATAAGTCAACCAAACATAAGCTAAATTCACAAGTACATGTAAGAAAGAAGCACTTGAGTATCGGCTACATCTATAAGTGGCACATGTCAAAGAAAATAAGTGGGGGTGCAAAAGTGAAAAGGCTTGAAATAACATAAAAAAGGAAAAATTGTTACCAACCTTCTGCTCGCTTCAAAGCGTTTTCTGGTTTCGCAAAGGTAGACATGTTGATCAACAGGTACCTTCTTCTGCACTAGAAAGTATTTGCAATGAATACAAAAGAAAACAGTTTACATAGGATCCCAAACATGATTATTCGGTGATATTCATATACATACACACTCGTTCTCAAAAAAGCCGAAGTCACAAACAGATGATTAATTTTATATTGCCACAAAATTATGTACTGGTATTGTAAGCAAAAATAAATAAAGAAAAGCTGTTTCGTATTTTATACCATTAACGCGACAAATTGACATATAAAGTCTCTATGAACAACATCTAAAATATTATAATTCGACCAAAATTCAGCACAACCAGAATTAAATCAGATGGAGAATTTACATCAAACACTAAAGTGAAACTCAACAAAGCAAAAGAATGAAATTAACACAGCATTACAAACCAGCGGACAAATAGAGGTGACAAACTCGAAATTTCAGGCAATCAATCAATCCTTGTCTCCTTGATAATCAAGTAATGAGACTAAATGTCACAGAACCACATATAAGGCGAACTAGATATCGTATCGAAAAAGATCACAGAGACAGAAACAATCGAATAGTGGGGAAGACAATGCACGACAAACAGACTAAGGGATTGATTCAGAGTGCAACAATCAAAGGTTAAATCTTTAAAAACTAAAATTAATATTCTTTAAGCTAACTTATCCTGTCAATTAATATAGTCTACACAACGAAATTGCTCCACTAATCAAAATTGAAAAATAAAAATCCTAGACCACAAATTTCAGTCGATTAAACCCCATAATTTCTTAATTATTTAACCTACAATATACAATCCTTTAAAAAAAAAATCAGATTTTTAAAGTGTTTAATCAATTCATCCCATCCCATGCAAAACACAAAACCTTACAAAAAATCAACCAAAATAGAAATTCATGCGTTCAACAAACTAATCTTGATGAATATAGACAAACATCAACAAAATCAAAAATAAAAAAAACCTACAAAACAATGCAAAATCATAAAAACATATATAAAACTTACCTAGAACTTGTTGCCGCGGCGGGATGTCGCCGGCAGCAGTTCGCCGGAAAAGAGGAGAGAGAAAGTGAGTGGTGAGAGGCGGAAAGAGGAGAAAGAAAGAGAGAGAGAGTGTGTTAGGGTTACGCGGGCTACTGAGAAGGAAGATGAACGAGAAGAGAGCGGCCTAACACTAATTGTTCGGCCCGTTTACGTTTTACTATACCACAAGAAATTATGACCCGTTCTATCAATGTTCGGGTTAATATACACTACTAGTACTTTGCAAGTTTTTTTTTTGGCAAGTTGTTTTTAAAGATAATTCTAGTTTTTTTTTTTTTTTTTTTTTTGGCAAGTTCTTCATATAATTATAATAGGAGTAAAAGTAATTATAATAGGAGAATTATAATAGGAGTACAAGTAATTATCTATGATTTGTAAAATAAGTAAATTTAATCCAAAATAAATACATAAATAAATAAATAACACGACCTATTTTGATTCTCTTAACTTTTTTTTTTTTGAAGAATTTTGATTCTCTCACCTTTTATACACAAACATTTAAAAAAATCAGATGTACATCCACTACAAAATTATCTTTAAAAGATCAAAAGTTACCCTTTAATAAATGAAAGTTACCCCGTATATATAAGTTACCCTATATAAATAAAAGTTATTTATTTTATATTGATAAAAATTACCCTACATTCAACCAAAGTTACCCCCGTGTATAGTTATATTTCTGTTGTTAAAGTTATATTTCTGTTGTTAAATATGCATTATATTATATGTGTGTATAATACTTTATATTATTGAATATGCAAATTAGTGTGATATTCAATGAATAATTGAGGAAATTTTTTTTTCTTTTTTTGGTGTTTAGAGAACCACAAGGGCGAGCGATGAAAATCGATCCCAAGATCATCTAGAACGGAGAAGAGAGCTCTAACTACTTGAGCTATTAGAAAGTACGAAGTATATTTTAAGGGTCTGTTCTCTTACGTTGAAATTCAGTTCAGCTCAGTTCAATTCAGTTCAGTTCATTTCAGCTCAGTTCAGTTCAGTTCAGCTCCTAACTTCCTTCTCTTATAAAATATTCATTTCAGTTCAGTTCAGTTCAGCTTAGCTCAGTTCAGTTCAGTTTAGTTCAGCTCAGCTCAATTCAGTTCACTTCACTTCAACTGAGTTCAGTCAATGAAAACAAGCCCTAAGATTATTTCTCTTTATCTCTCATGGGCTTAAATGCTCCCTTCAATTTCAAAAAAAAAAAAAAAAAAAAAAAAAACTTGATATTGTTTTTGTTATCTAATCTCTCTTTTTTGGTACAAATTTTTAATTGAGTTGCCGGAAGTTTGTATCATCATCATATATGTTCATGTTGTTCAAGATCTACTTAAATCCATAAATCAGATTATAATTTCAAGATAATTGTAGCATCGAGTGGCATAGGTCTTCATACAATTGACAGTAGAAAGCTATGACATTGATTTCTTTCATGGTAACACATACCTTGTTTCCATAAATAAATTTAATTTTAATGTTCAGATATGCTCTTGTTAGGATAGAATTTGGATACTTAGGCTATGTATGTATCAATTGTATGACTTGAATGTAATGAAATTTATTTTTTTGTTGTCGATTCTCAAATTGAAAAAGGTTTACTTGACCCCAATTAGATTGTTTGGGGCATAAATATAAGACTAATATTTTTTTTTTTTTTGAGGGAAAACGAGTTAATAGGCATATTATTGCAAATCAAGCTCCGCCAAAGTTAAATACTTTGGGGAAAAGAGTTCATACATACTAGTTCCGAACTACCTTTTGTATCCCATCTTGCTACAAGATGGGCTACCGAATTGCCTACTCGTTTAACATGAGAAATAACGAAAACATCAAAAACATTAGCCAACATACTAATGTCATCATAGATAAGCCACTTTGGAGAGAAACCCATTGAGTGATCATCAACCTTACGAACAACAGTAGCAGCACCACTTTCCACCCAAATTTGCTTGTAATTGAACCTTTGAGCAATACTCATCCCAAATCTCACCCCTGCTGCTTCTGCCATCTCAACCTCCCAGTCCCCTGCATACCTTCGCACAGCAGCTAATAAAATCTTCCCAGACTCGTCCCTTGCCACCACACCAAGACTAATAAACACACCTGCCACAATATGAGCATCCACATTGAGTTTTATCAATCCCACAGGAGGGCAGCACCATGATGATGTGGATATAAAATTTGGGCTTGGTGGTTTGGTGAACACTTTCTGAGCATATGTATTGTAGTCTAGGACGAGTTTGGAGAAACCCCCAGCAGTATACACAGCGTTGACAGTCACATTTTCACGAACTAACTTGTTCCTGCAGAACCAAATAGCCCACACAAGAGCAAGAAAATGACCGAGCTTTTGCTGATCAATCTTTTGTGCCACCCATAACAATCTTGTAACAAAAGATGCTGAAGGAGCATCTGCAATTAATTGGGTGTACTCACTGTGACCCCATACCTCCCTTGCAATATGGCATTCAAATAATACATGTATAATAGATTCAACATCAACACCACAGCAGCAACATACCTCGTCATTTGCAATATGTCTGCGAAATAGTTCTTTCTTTACAGCCATACTGCCTTTACATGCTTGCCATATGAAGTGACGGAGTTTAGGAGGGCAACTTAGATTCCAAACCAGCTTCCATACCTCTTTGTCACAATCTGTCATACTGTCAGCAACCCCTTGAGTATGTCCCAATCTGCCAAACCAATATCCGGATTTCACTGTGTATTCTCCATCTTTTGAGGGCCACCAGAATAGAATATCCTGTGGTAGACCATAGGAAATTGGAAGCTGGAGGATGAGGTTACGGTCTTGCTCAGAAAAAAGGGATTGCAGCACATCCCCTCTCCATTCTTTGCAATCTGCATTTATCAGTTCAGACATTCTCAGTTCTGGATCGTAAACACTGTCGTGTTGGGACAACAGTTGCTGGTTTGCCAGGGAGCCAGGAATCAAGCCACACTCGAATATTATTTCCATTATCCACCCTCCATTTAAGGCCCTCACGCAATAGAGACTTTGAACCCCATAGACTTCTCCATGAATAGCTAGGGTCGTAACCTCTATAGGCTTCAAGAACCGGCCTATTCTTGAAATACTTGGCCTTTAGGATGGCATGAGTAAGCGTGTTTGGTCTAGAGTGGAGCCTTCAAACCTGTTTGCAAGAAGCGCCTGATTAAATATTTTCAAATCTCTAAATCCCATTCCCTTAAGAGACTTTGGCAAACAAAGAATCTCCCAACTATGCCAATGCATCTTTCTTGTAGAGTCCGTCGAACCCCACCAAAATCGGGCAAGCAAAGAATGGATTTCATCAATTAAGCCCTCCGGGATTTTGAAGATGCTCATCATATATGTGGGAATAGCCTGAGCAACTGCTTTGATCATGACTTCTTTCCCAGGCCTAGACAAAAGCTTCTCTTTCCACCCTTGCAATTTTCTCCATATTCTCTCCTTTAAATGGGCAAAGATCACCTTTTTTGACTTACCAATGATTGTAGGAAGGCCTAAGTATTTCTCATGTCGTTCAACCTCGTTCACCCCTAAAATGTTCACAATTTCCAGTCTCCGCTCAGCATCAACACTCTTACTAAAGACAACATCAGTTTTATCAAGATTGACACTTTGCCCGGATGCTCTCTCATATTTGCTGATAATGTCAGCTATCTTTGAGCATTCTCTCACCGTGGCTTTAGCAAATAAAATGGTGTCATCTGCAAAGAAGAGATGTGAAATTCTAGGCGCCCCATTACAAACTTTCATCCCATGAATAAGATTATCATTCGCCGCTTTTGTAATGAGAGTAGAGAAGGCATCTGCAACAATGAGAAATAAATAAGGGGAAATAGGGTCGCCTTGCCTCAACCCTCTAGACGGAGAAACCGAACCAGAAATCCTTCCATTTATCTTAAAAGCAAAAGTCACACTAGACAAGCAGTCCAACACTCTTCGGACCCAATTATTGCCAAACCCCATCTTGTACATTACTCGTTCCAAAAAAACCCATTCAACTCTGTCATATGCCTTCCGCATGTCAAACTTTAAAGCCACCGATCCATTCCTACTATCACCATTTCGTTTCATAGCATGGAAAATTTCAAAGGCTACTAGAGCATTATCAGTAATTAACCTTTTTGGGACAAAAGCACTCTGGTTGACTGAGATAATTTTGTCCAGAAAAGGTTTTAGTTTATTAGCCATAGTCACACCAGGATCGTTATACAGAGGAGTTCTTCCTCCCTTGTTTACCTTCAGTTCAGACATCCATTTTGCTTCCTTCTCACGCAACATATTTGGAACACGGGCTTGTTTCCATGGTAAAGCACGTAGCCACGGGCCGTATTGATAAACCACCTCCTCCATGTCCTTTGAACTCTCTTTTTGCTGACATTCTCTATCCGTATGATTCAGCAACCCACAGAAGAAGCAGAAATCCATTTAGACTAATTAGGACCCGTAGCAAGTCTCATCCCCCTTCGTAGAGGCTTGTTGATATCCACCAGAATTTTTATTCTCATGCACTCGCCCCACCCAATTGGGTCTGAATCATCAAATTCCAGAAAACCGCCAAGAAATTCACCAATTTCCTTCATTACACCAACAGAGCGCTTATTGAACGGGACATCCTTCAGTCGTATCCACATCGGTGAATGCGTGAATCTAACTTCAGATGGCTGTTCATCCCCGCAAATATCCTTCAAAATCAGAATTTTGTCATCAAAGAACCAAGGTCTTCCCTCTAACACCCTCCTTTTATCATCCAAAGTGAAAAATTGAAACACGAAGAGGTTTGTTTCAATCATTCTAATTGCTATGTTATTGTGCAGTCTCCAAACATTCATTAACGTTCTCTTCATCGCCTCAACATTGTGAGGTTTAATTGTCCATAATTTCCCTACCAAAGTCAAGTCCAATTGAACCTTCGCATCCTCACTATCGCAGCCCGAAAAATCATCTCCCACAACAGTTTCTTCTTCTTTTGTGAGTTGAAATTTTTCCAATTGTTTGATCAGTTCATCCTCCTTTATTGCTATGGCTTAATCAATCAATTATTTGCATAAAGCAGGGTGAATTTGCACGAATTTGAGAATTGTAGACGAACGAAAACAAACCCTAGACAAGGACTACTGAACCCTAGTCGAGGGACTTCCTTTGTCCTATATAAATTTACCTTTTCAATTAAATAT